TATTCTTAATTCAAATAGTAAATGTAATCTTTGAGTATGATTAACAAAATCAATTTTTAGCATATGTAAAGAAGTTTTTATTTAGTTCTTCCTCTTCAATATTTTCTAGTGCATTTAACTTAAATCTGTAATCATTGTAAAGTGTAATAATGTCAACAAAAAAGGTTACCATACTCTTTGTACTAAAAAAATTACTAATTTTTTTTTTTTTTTTTTTTTAAAGAATTTGTGTGGGCATTGCTGCATGAGTGATTACTCAAGTTCTGATGTGTTGATAAACATGCGGTGATGAAAACAAAATATAATAAATAATGATTTGCCAGTTTGACTTCAGGGATATAAAATATTAGTAGGTGTAAAATCTATGATGTTTGTATTTAGAATGTTTCAGTTTGAGATGTACGCCAAGCAGATATGCAGCTATGGAGCCAAATAATTGATCACACAAATTTATGCTAAATTATTGTTTCTTCAATAACAAGGTATTTATTTAGTGCTGAAGGGAAATTACATCTTTTTGTTGAATTTAAGAATGCCTACAACTCAGTAAACAGAAAATATTTCTGAAAAACTTATAAATTTTGTCATCATTACACTTACTGAGACAAAACTTAGGGTTAAAATTCAGAATAATCTCTCAGAGCCTATTGTTGTTTCAAATGGGCTCAGACAGGGTGATGCACTGGCTTGCTTGCTTTTTCACCTTGCCCTCCAAAAAATCATAAAAGACTCCAACATTAATGCTCGTGGAACTATCTTTAACAAGTCTGTTCAAATTTTTGCGTTTGCTGACGATGTTAACATAGTCGCACATACTCTCGAGTCACTTAGAGAGGCTTTTACATCTCTAGAGGCTGCAGCCAGCAAAATGCATCTAGCATCAATCTAAATAAAACTAAGTACATGCCATGTGATAATAACAGCAGCCCCTATTTTGAAATTGGGAATTACAAATTTGAAACCGTTAGCAAATTTAAATATTTAGGATCAGAAGTTAATACTCTCAAAGATTTAATGCCTGAGATCCGTAGTAGAGTCACAGATGCTAAACGATGTTTTTTTGGTCTAAAAAAATACCTGAAGTCCAACTTCACTAGCAGAAAAACGAAGATTCTAATTTACAAAAGCTTAATCAGACCCATTCTTACATATTTTGCTGAGACCTGGGCAATGACAGAAAAAGTTAAAAGTATCATTTCTGTCCTTTGAAAGAAAAAAATTGAGAATTATTTTTGGTGGCATAAAATGTAACAATGTCTGGAGAAGAACTAACTCTGAACTGTATAAATCTTTTAAAAAACTATATATATAAGGATTCAGAGAATTAAATGGGCGGGACACCTGCACAGAATGGATGAAAATCGTGTAAGTAAAAAGATCTTCTCGGCCAGACCATTCGGCACCCGAAAAAGAGGGAGACCTAAACTTAGGTGGCATGACTGTTTGGAAACAGACTTAAGAATTTTAAAAATAACTAACTGGATGTCTATGGCCAAGGATAGAAGGAATTCGGCTCTGAGGAAGACAAGGGCCCATCGTGGGCTGCCTGGCCATTGAAGATGGAAAAGCAAAATTAAGAATCGGGACTGTCCACATGTTTTGCCTGCGGGGGAATCAAATGTGCATGCATAAAGCATTAACCTTCCAGCATGCGCACTTGGCAATTTTACATGAGCACGCGCACGTCGTATTTTTTAACGACATCCGTTATTTTACAGTTTTGGGCACGAAAAAACGACAGAAATGAGTGAATATTTATAATAAATTTGTTAAGAAATAAAATATTAATCTTATTATTGCAAAATACAAATGATATCACATTCAAATATGAGTAAATTATTTTTAAGTTTTTATCTTAATGAGATGGAAATGCAATGATGTATTCATTATAAAAATTTTAAATTATTATTATAATTATATTTTAAATCGAAGCTAATTTTAATATTCATCAAAGATAAGTATAGACAATAAAAAAGGAAAACACCTTGGTAGGAAAAAAAGTAAGTTTAGCATTACTTACTTCTGCAAGGAAATTTACTTTTTACTGGTTACAAGCACGCACTTTAAACTAACTTTAATGTTTTTATTTATTTCTAAGAAATAGAAATAAAAGAAAATAAAGAATGGAAATCGCTATTGTTCTCCCATCCAAAGGTTTCCTTGTCTTTCTTTTCTTCATCAGATAATTCTTGAAGAATCCGAGCAAAATCAGCTGGTTACACATATTTTTTTGCCATGAAAACTGATATAAAATTTACAGAGACAAATGTATTCAAATTAAAATAATAGACGGCAATTAATAACACAAAATTATAAAATACTTGAGAAAAAAAATATTTTCCGAATTTTAAAACACAACCACGCGCGTGTCGTAACTTTTATGAAAAAGCTGCCACGTAGCACAAAAGCCCAGTTAAAGAAAAAAAAGTCAAATGACTTCCTGTTGGCACATTCCATGATGTGGGGAAGGATAGAAAGGAGGAATAGAGATGACATTCAGACATCTTAGCTTCGATATGCGAAAAATGTGCATTAAAAGCTGAATTTGTCGTAAATTTTGCGCATATGCGCGTGCTGGAAGGTTAAAAAAAAATAAAGAAAAAGTGGTTGGCAGTTTTGAGGTTTGGATTTTAGATCATTCCGGATATTGGACATCTGGATCTCGGACATTCTACTGTAGTCTTCTCATCAGTGGCTGAATGGCTGGATAGTGGAAATTTGACATGGGTTCAGTTTCATGTAAATAGGCTGGCTGTGTGGTTGGTTTTCATGGTTTGTCCCATGTGAAATGCAAATACAAGCCAATTGTCTTAGATAATCCTCCAAGAAGGCACTCCTCTCTTCTTAAGTGGATAGCCTTCATGTAGGCTGCCACATTCTTTAACATAACCTAATAACCTTTAGTTTTTGATGCATAACTCCTCTTAGAAAATGTAAACACAGCAGTGAATCATAACCTCAGTTAAACAAATTAAGAATGGTATTTGATTGTCTGGCTACTTTTTAGTGTCAAGTTGGAGCACATATTATCTACGTTTTTCCTTCTTACTCCCATGGTTGTTGATAAAAATAAGTTTTGAGAAACCTAGGTAAGACTATAAATAATAGTCTAAATCTCACAATGTCATAATGTGTCTCACAGTAACCATGGGAAAGTTTACATTACATTCAAATGCCAAACACTGGAGCAAAAAACCAGCATTGGTTTTGCTGAAGGAAATGCACAGGTATCTGACCTTAAAAAGTGTGCAGATATTAAGGATGGACATCATTGGGAAAGTTGTTGCTGCGGTATCTAATGAATCAACTTGTTGCAGTTCTCAGTTAAAATATAGATAATAGAAGAGTTCTAGATATATAATTTCAGTTTCTTGTATGCTGTGTCAATGTAACTTGACAGCAGGTGAAAATTAAATTAGCTTTCCATTTGTAAAAAATTCTGAATGTGGCAAACAGATCTACATATGTGAAATTTATGTCATATTTCAAAGATATCATCTTGTAAAATGAAATATGAATAGAAAAGTTAAAGGAAGCTTCTTGATCACATAGAGTTGCAATGGAGTTTGAAAAATTTTGCCAATTGTCTCTTAAGTGTTAGGCTGATTTCAAATGACTGGAATGTTTTCCAAATATACTGCTGAAGGTTTCCCTGCCTCTACAGTTACATAAGATCAATATTTAGCAGCAAGAGCTAAATGCAGTTGATGCTACATGGTCAGCCAAATTTCAAGTTGTGTTTGCTGCAGCGGGGAATAAGAATATGCTACTAAACTGTTCCTTGATATTTGAATTAAGTAGGGCTATATCCTCAAAGATTAATTGTGTGCTGGCAGTGCTATAGAAAGCTTTTACAATGATATCAGATTCATAAACAAATAAAAAAAGTTTTTTGATAAAGAATTTTTTTTTTTTTTTTTAGAAGAAAGTATTAGCTTTAATCATCCATTTTCTCTGAAAATGTTGATAAAAATTTAATTAATGAGTAAGAGCATACAGAATTGCCCAATCCAGTCACATTCAGGGGAACTGTAAGAATTGATTTAAATGCAACTTTTCAATGTTTGAGAACGTCTAGGTTTTTAATGTTATTATTTTTTCTATTACTTTTATTAACATAAATTTATGCTCCTATTTTTAAAAAAAATTGAAAATTTAAATTGGTTTATTAATTCATGTTCATAATTTTTAGATTAAGTTTATATAAATGGGTATTTACAACCTCACTTTTAGTTATACTTAAGAAACAAAATTAAAATTCTAAACTATTAAAACTATTCAAGGACTTATATTATTTAAAATATTAATTATAAGGTGTAATATTTATGTTATGAAACTCATTAATCTTAATTTTTTTTTTTGAAATTTTTGTCAGGGATCAGGTATTTCTTGATATGGGGGTATAATGATCCTCTTTTTTAGGGTGTATGAGGGGCATGTGCTTCTCTTGTATTTTTTCAGGAAAAGACTTGTTAATTAATTCTGTTAAAATTTCTTAAAATGTTGATTTGCTGCAGAGAAAAAAAGTAAAAACTGTGAAAATAAAAAAACTATCCCCAATCTCTAAGTTTTAGGCATGTCTTTTCATTCAATAGATCAACAACTTCATCATCACTAATAATGTCTTAACTGCATATTCTATCACAGTGCCCTACTGTAACAGAATATGGAGTTAAATATTGTTTAAAAAGCTGATTATAGTTTTGGTAAAAAGGAAATAATAATAGTCTATTAAAGATTTTGCTAACGACCTTAACAAGTAAAGTCTATTCATTATTAGTTTTACTTGATATTAATTTGATGTGTCAGTTAAAATATTTTTCTAGTGTATTGTGTAAATCATGATTTAATAGTTTGTTTTTAGAATTGCTGTTTTTATTTTAAAACCTTAGTTATTTTATAGTAAGTTAATTAATAATATAGTGTTTGCTTGCCATTAAAATTAATTGTCCTCCTTGTTAAGCCATTGGTGTTGCGTTTTTTTAGGTTTTTCTGTATGGAACTTTATGTAAATCTCAATAAGCCTTTATGTGCTTAAATTGTTCTTTGAATTTTTAAATTTTTTCATTGCTTTTTATCTCCATTTGTTAAATTTTTTGGGTTTTTATTTGAATATTCTTACTGATCTCTTTTGCAGAGCAGAGATATGCAAAATGAAAAAAGCATGTGGGATACTGCAAAGTTAAAGTGGTACTTGCCGTCCGTCTGGGATCACTTTTTAGATATTATACCAAATTGTATCCATGGCGCTGCTTATTTTGAATTTCATTTCTTTATTATTAATATAATTATGTATTCTTTCATTGTGCAAAAAAGTCAATGGCAGTTTCATTAGTGCTTATTTTAAATTTACATCTGTTGTATTTTCTATTTCTTCTTTTATGAATTTTAGATATATGCATTTTATTGTGTACTATGGCCTATTACTCCATTCCTTAAATAAGCTTGCATCATAAGATACTTATAGTGGAATTTTGTATGTAACTTCTTTTAATTCTAAATACCTATAAGACTGGGGATCTATATATATGTATATATATATATATATATAATAATAAATATAAATATATAATATTTGATTATTTTGAAAACGAAATCTTTCAAATGACGCTGAATGTTGATTTTTATGAGTGGAAGCTTATCCTGGATCATATCTATGAACCAATATTGATAAGAAAATCAAATGTGTTGTATCCATAGTTCCTTTTTTAGATGTGCATAATGCTCCAATTCATAAATTTCTTTTCTGTTTATGTCAGTTGCTTTGTTTTATGAAAGCAAAAATCAGCTTCGTGAGAGCTGATATTCTATATGTTTGAATAAATTTGTTTGATTAAACAAATGAGCCATCTAATTACCTATAAATTTACATTGAACAAGACATAGTGGTGATCCCAGATGTGAATTGTGATCTGAGTTTGAAAGGCCAGTTGCATTTTTTTTGGGGGGGGGGACTTTTCAGTTTTGCCGGCGCAAATCTCGCCAAGCAGACTTTATTGGTGACAACACACAGTATACACATAAAAAATTTTAGTTCTAAGAATTTTTTACTTTGGAAGCATAAACATTTTAATATTGTTTAAAGTTTTGTAAAAAGACAATAAATTTGTAAAAAGACATTAATTTAAGCATTTACTATGCTTTCATGGTACAGCATCCTGATTCGCCGGTTCATGTCACGTGACACGGTAAATTAGAATCCTATTTGAGGTCACTTGAGTCTATTGGTATAACTTCTGATAAATATTATGCTATGTTGTTCTCTTTATTTGAATCATGCATACTGAAGAATTGCTTAGAGTTTGGCTAAGGAATCCTATGTTGAACAAATGTAGAAATTCCTATTCTGATAAATTACCACGATTATTGTGTTTCTTCATATGGAAGTTTAAACTGAAGAACGTGTTTCACATGCCAAAGTAGGGATTAGACAAAATAGTGTTTCATTGAGAAAGGTAAAATTTAGAATATTAAATCGATGCTGTTGATTGTAGCATCATTTGGTCAAAGGGAGAAAGTTGCATCGATGGTTGCTTTTTTACACATGCATGACACTCTTAACTCATAAATTTCTTTTCCATGTATGGCAACCTGTTTGCTGTTCTATGAAAACAAAAGTAAGCCATGAGGGAATTGACACTCTATATATTTGAATTCTATTATTAAAAGAAGGAATCATCTAATTAACTACAAATTTACTTGCAACAAGGTATGATGAACTATTTTGAGTTGAAAGACATACTAGATCATATCTGTGAACCAAAAATGATACAAGAAGCTAGAAAAAGTGCAAACTCTGAAATTCTGGAAAAAAAAAAAAAAAAAAAAAAAAAATTGTTTTCTTAGTAAATGGGTAAATATTGGTAATCTGTACTTCTTGATATAATCATTTAATTTTTTTTAGAAGTGTATTTCGCTACCGAGCAACAGACAGTGATAAAGAATTTTTTTGATATGGCTTTCACAAAGCTTTAAAAAATGTTTAGTTAAGAGAGATTTGAAGTTGAATGATGAAAATATTAAATTTTGGCTTTTATTAATTGCGGCTTTGCATTTTGTATTAAGAAAAAGAGCTTTTGATTAGCTGCTTCGTAAGACTTAAATTCATAAAACTTGATGTAATTTTAAGTAAAGTGCCACTTTTTTTATTTTTAAATCTAATGTCAAAAATATCCTTGTACAAAAAGATTTGACTAATTTTTACTTGGAGCATAGTTTTGTTTAATAGCAGCAGAAATTGATTAGTTAAAAAGTTTAAACAGAATACTTCTTTTAGGACTTGAGTTTGTTCTTTGGAATCTGTAGTTATAATGAACATTATTTTACAAATTAAATTTATGTAAACTGCAAAGTTGGAACTATTTTATTGAGCTTACTATCATAGTCATGTTACTTTTAGAGCAGATAATGGCCATCAGCGTAACACACATGTATTTGTACGAGGCCCAATTTAAAATTAAAGCTGTGGAATGTTTTTTCCTGTGGTTAATTTTATTTCAGATAGTTCCTGCTTATGTTCCTTCTGTGTAAATTATTTGCTTTACAATGACAGTTGTGATCCATTGCCATGGAAGATTTGCTATTCCTCATAGGATACTTGTTTTGCTCAATCTTTGAATAGTTAGGGTAAGTGCTGAAAGAACCTCTTTCATGGAGGGAAATCATTGTCCATTTGGTAGCTCCCTTAATCTGTGAAAAAATATGAAATCTGTGGATTTTATAGTAAGTCCTTTTACAAGTGAGCTTTGAAGTTTATTCTCCGTTCTTAAGCAAGTTAGGTCAGTTGTATGTGATTTTCTTTGCATTTTTTGCAATCACTCGCGAAAATTCTGCTGTTACACTCTTTGCACCTGAAACACATTTCCCCCCATTTCATATCTTTCGCAATAATGCTTTGATAATCGTAGGGAAAATTTATCATTTACGTAAACAGTGGTTGAGCAGTGTGAAATTTTTGGTGTCGTGGAGAGAATAGACTTTACTGGAATGGCAATTTCAATTCTGATGAAAATTTTTTATTCGTATTGTATCAATTGCCATTATTTGCAAAAGAAAGCTTTCACCTTTATCATCAAACCTTCGTTTCAATAATGTTGCATCAATCAATGAGTGCCTACTTGAAACAAATTTCTCTTTTTCTAATACACAGTTTCTGTCAAGATACTGATGATAGTGAAATCACTTTAGCTCGTGATTTTTTTCGCATATTACTTGACGAACGTTTTCTTTTTAGTCTTCCACAAATATCACAGGTTAGAGCTGGTGTTTTGCTCTGTGCCGCCTGATGCTTCTCACATTTTTTGCCTCTTCATTATGCAGTCCAGTGCAGCTGAACCAGTATCAGCAGCAGTGCAGCAGCAGTCCAGATTCTGGTGCTTGCACTACAATTCTTTAATCAGTTGATATTTTATATCTTCTTAATTTTCAATAATCTTGTATGCCTGGCATACATACCCTTCACAAAATCTTAGTAGCCCTAAGTAGTGTTCTACTACTATCCATTTCCTGATCACCAAAAATTTCACGTAATGCATTGTGAAGTTTTGCTGTATTTTAGCTTCTTAAACATCTCGCTTTGAACTGTGAGCTTTCATTTTATAAAGTGATTCTATATGCATACAGACTCCATTTCAAAGAATTATGACTTGAAACTGTTGTTTTCTAGGGAACCCAAGTAGACCTTTACTTTTGCCTCAGACCTTTAGCTTCAAATAATATAAATATATGCAACCTCTCTCATCTTTAATAGATCATTGTAGAACATTCTATAAGGAATGCAGAGCGCATTTTAAAGCTGAATGGAAAACTGATGGCACTATCATTTAATCTGATGTGAGATTCCTACATTCTTGAACTATTATGTAGCATTTGCTAACTGCTAGATACTTAATTATACTAGATATCCCTCTCCTTGTTTACGTCTGTATTTATTATTAGGATATCAACAAACTTTAGCATAGATAAACTTTAACAAAGGTAAACACTTGAGCCTCACTTTCTCGGCAAAATTTGACAAAGTAAGGTAATTTAAGATGAAAAATACAAAAATAAACCATATTTGTGATCCCTATAATAAATTTACTTACAGAGAAAAGGAAGAACGGAAAGGTTAACTCTCTAACTTGAAAATACTTTAAAACTCATTAGAGATGATGACATTCAAAGTGGCAGCTTCAACGAAAAAAAAAATCACTGTGGGTTTGAACACGCAAAAACTTTATAATGATTGTTTAGAGACATTTCTGAATTTTATTTGCTAGAAATGCATATTACTGCCACAATGTAGCAAACCAAATGAAATGGTTTAAAGGCAGGAGTGGTTAGATCGAGAAAAAGCGCAAAATTGCTGACATTTGTGCAGGTCAACAACTAAACAGAAGTCAGTAATGGAATGGCAGAAAACATTTGCATCATGTAGCTTTGAAGCCTCACAAAGTGCATGTATCATGCCAACAGACAAGAAAGCAAAATTATGGCATGTGTTACACAAACTTCTGCAGTTCAAGTCTTACAAATTTGACAAAGCACGGGCACTGCCAAAAAGTCAAATGGAGGAAATTTAACATAGATGATTTTGTGAGTAGACTTGCGTTCTATGATGAAGACGTGTTTCATTTAGGTAGCAAAGGGAACAAATATAATATGATAATTTATTTACGGAAATCCTGCTATTTATATAGGGAATATTCACTTTTCTGAAGATGAACTTTTCCTGGCCTTAACAAAACATGACCTTTTTTCTTCGCACAACCTTATAATTAATTCCTTGAGGATACTTGAAAGAGAAGACTTTATGCCCACTTCTCAACAGGACTCACAGCAAATAAAGCAGCGGTCAGGTGAGGTGGTTGGCTCAATTGATTGAGCAATATTATTGCCTGTGGAGAGTGCTATGTTTATTAATCTGTCATCTTATAATTTTGCCTTAATTTTCATTTCTACTTTCGTCGGCTTCCAGTGATATCTACATTAGTTCATGTATTGAGCACAGAGTCCTTAAGAGAGATCTTTAGCTGATAGATCTAAGGGAGATCTGTAGCTGATGTCTCGCTATTACTTCTCTTAGTAGCTATGCTATTTATTTCATCTCTAGTTTGCTAGCCATAACTGTTAGGTTTTAAACAAAGCCTGTAGTCCCCCTTTGTCATGTAATGTAATACTCTAATTTTATTTGAACTTTT